GGTCGAAGGTATGAAGGGAAGGGGCTTCCCTTCGAATGAATGACGCGCTTCCTTACTGTCGTTTTGGCCAGCACGCTTGAAATGAAAGGCCCAGGGTAAGAGAGGCAACGTCGCAGGCCTAGAGGTTGGCACCAACAGCAAGATCGGCGGTGTGCCTCCACCGAGGGAAGACGATCCCGATCTCGGTGATGGTGGTAATAGTCTGGCTTCCAAGGTGGCCGAAATATTACCACCAACACCGGAACCTAGGATCATCTTCCCCATGTGGAGGCAACCACCTGTGCTGGTGCTGGTGCCAATTTCCAGGCCTCCAGCAACGGCTGGCGCGTCGGAGCAGGAGGCCCAGGAGGAAGCTTGGAATGGCGACGGCGACGACGACGACGACGACGAGGAGACGACTAATGAAACTGCGACGAATGAAAGAGCCTCGTCCACACGCCGACAGGGTCGGCGGATTTCGACGAAGCCATGCTGGAATGGAGCTCCGAGGGCATGGCAACTACGCGCCTCGCTGACGGCACGCTGCGGTGCGCGACCACACACCTCACAGTTTTCGGGGCCATACTGAAGGGTTTCTTGAGCTCGCTCGAGTGCAGCCAGGCCAGCCTGCTGTCAGCAGAGTCCTACGTGGAGTTGTGGACTGGCGACTGGTTGGACTCCGCGGGCTCGGTGTTGCTGCTGTGTGTGATGTTGTTGTACATCGCCATGCTGTTTACCGCGCACGCGTGCGACGTCAGGGACGAGCGGGCGGGCCGCTGGGGCACGAGGGAGTTCGTCGTTCCCGAGCTCGCGCGGGAACCCGTCGCCTGCCCCACGACGCGGGCGGACGGATACCACACCGAGACGACGGGCGTGCCCCCAGTGACCCTGCTCGGTGCTGAGCACGCAAACGTCACGGAGGTTCTGCGCAGGCATTTCTGCTTGGAAAGTTCGAGCTGCAGCGCCGTGGGTGCCGAGGACCGCGCCGCGGCGGGCGTGCCTCGGACAGCTCCGCGCGGCGCCGATCACACGCCCGTTACGGAGGCGTTGCGCAAGGAGTTTTGCAAGAAAAGGTCAGGCGGCAGCGTCGCGAGCAGTCAGAGCAGTCAAGGCCACGCGGTGGCAGCTACACCGTCAAGGGCCAGCTATACAACCGCTGTGCGGTCGTTGCAGTCTGCCCGCCAGGCGGTCCAGGAGGACACAAAGGCGTCTTGCGAGGATCTGTTGCAGGGCGCGCTCTTGGAAGTCGTCAGCATCGTCACCAATTGCGTCGACGGCGTCCGGCAAACCGTCGAGGTGTTTGTCAGTTTCGCGTGGGAACTTCTCAGGGGCAACTTCGGCCTCAAGGATCTGGCCAAAACGCTGGCTGAGTGGAACGCGACGAACCGGGTGTGCGCGTCTCTGCTCATGCACCCCAGAGATGTGGACTTCCTGCTCAGCCCAGAGGTCCAGAAGGAGCTGGAGCCCCCGGCGCCGGGCGAGCTGGACAGCGAGGGTGCTGCGCTGCGCACCCTCGCTGGCTCCGCTGCCGAGGGCGGCGTCGCCGAGGCCAAGCGGCGGCACGACATGCTGGCCGAGATGGTCGGCAGGGTGCAGGTGGCCCGTGAGGGCGCGCTGCGGCGTCGCCGCTCGCGGTGCCACGCGGCTCGCACGTTGATGCTATCTTTCCTGATCAACTGTCCCGTCGGGGCGGTCTTTGTGCGAAGCATCACCATGAGGAGATCCATGAGGGTACTGCTGCTCGGCTGCGAGCTGACGGGGGCCGTGATGATCGCTACGTTCTTCTTCGCGAGCACGGGGGGGGCTCTGGCGAAGGACTCGCCCGAGGAGTGCAACGCGGAGTGTGACGACCGTGACGACGATTGCATGTGGCAGGCGCTTGGAGAGTTGATCGCAGTCGGTGTGGTCTCTGCGCTCTTGGCGAGCATCCCTCTATCCATCATCAAACTGGCGCACCAGCGTCACTTCGTGCGAGTTCCAACGGAGGGGTGTCGAGAGTGGGAGCTGCAGCTAGGGAGGTGGCGCAGGCGGGACGCCCTCGTCTACGTGCTGGGCACGCTGTACAGCCTCTTCGCCATAAACTACGTCGCCCTCTTCTTCGCAAACGTCTCCTCCAATGACCACCTGGATCTGATCAGCTCTGCTGGCGTCTCCTTCGCGCAGGGGCACCTCCTCTTCCCGCTGCTGCGGGCTTTCGTGGTAACCAGCCTGGCACTGTGCGTGTGAGGGTGGGCGCGGCGAAGGACGCGCGGAGGCAAGGACGGGCTCCTGGGGTTGGTTGCGCGGGCGGGGCCACTCAGGAAAGGGCTGATCTCGGACCTGGCTGATCTCGGCCCCGGCTGAACTCGGGCCCGACTGATCTCGGACCCAGCTGCGCAATGGGGCATGGGTGCATGAAGGTCTTAGGGCATTCGAGTGCTGGAGCAAAAAAGCATTAGGGCGTCAGGGCCGCTTAGGGATTTAGGGCGTTCTGGCCTTAGGACATTCGGATATTAGGCCGTTTGGGTGTTAAGGTGTTAACGCATTAAGTTTCCGGGTGTTAAGGCATAGGGGTCTTAGGGTACTAGGGTGCGCATTTGGTACGGTATTCCTGTATGGCTTACTGTAGTCGGGTCTTAGCGCACTCATTAGATATTAGGGTGTTAGGGCATGAGGGTATTAGGATTTTGTTGTCGCAGGGTCTTCCGGTGTTAGGGCGTCAGGGTCTTGGGGCAGCATGACCTGAGGGCACCAGGGTGTTAGGGTATAGGTTTTTGGTTGTGTCTTCGGTTCAGGGTTTTTTGAAGCATTCGGGCGTTCGGGTCTTAGGGCGTTCAGAATTCAGGGTCTTAGCGGAATCGGGTACCGAGGCATAGAGGCCTCAGGGCATTAGGGTGTTAGAGCATGAGGTCATTAGGGCGTTAGGGCCGCGTGGTCCAGGGGGGTTAGAGCGGTCGGGTCTTAGCGCATTTAGGTTTTCGGGTGTTGAGGTGTTGACGCATTGGGGCTTTCGTAAGGTATTGGGGTCTTATGGTATTAGGGCATGAAGGTTTTATGGTATCCAGGCATTCGTGGTTTGGGGTAGTAGGGTCTTAGCGCAGCAAAATCTTAAGGTATTCGGGTATGACAGTATCAAGGTTCTGCGGTCGCAGAGTCTCCCAGTATTGGGGCATCAGGGTCTTACGTTATCAAGATCTGATGGCATCAGTGAATTGGGGCATGAGGGGTTTTGGATCTTCGGGTCTGAGGGTCTCGGGGTATTCCGGAGTTCGGGTCTTAGAGCGTTTGGGTTCTAGGGCTGTAAATCTTGGGGTGTCAGCGTTTTAGGGTATTATGGTATTATGTTTTTAGGACCGCAATGCATTAGGGTATGACGGTCTTCCGACACTTGGCCTTAAGGCAGCATCGGGTCTGAGGATGCGGGTGTTGAGGTTTTAAGGCGTTGGGGTATTAGGTGGGGTATTAGGGTCTTAGGGCTTCAGGTTATGAGGGAATTTGGGTCCTAGGGCCCTATGGCATCAAGGTATTCGGGTAAGGTGTTTGGTTACTGTGGCATTAGGGCTTTAGGCTTCTAGGGCATTAGGGCATGAGGGTCTTAGGGTATGAGTTTCTTGGGTGTCAGGGTACTGGCGCACTCGGATTATAGGGCGTAGGGGCATTAGGGTTCCAGGGCACTACGTGACAATAGTTCTAAACGTGTCGGGTCTCAGGACGCCCGGGTCATAGGGTGTTGAGATCTTGGGGCATTAGGGCGTTGGGATAACGGAGTGAGCGAGGTACGAGTGGTGACGTTGAGTTGTGGCGAAGCCCTTAAGGGAGGAATTCCAGGGGAGGGGCGAGGGCCGGATGCAATGTTGGTAATGGCCGTTTTCGGGTTTGCCCTAGGGTTTTCCCCACATGCTTAGTGAGGTTATGGCTTTCTTCCTTGCCGCGACGCACCCGCGTCTCTCTCTCTCTCTCTCTCACACACACACCTCCCTCTCCTCCGTCCTCCCCAGCACAGCACAGCACAGCACTGCTCAGCACAGCACAGCACAGCACAGCACTGCCCAGCACAGCTCAGCACAGCACAGCACAGCACAGCACAGCACAGCTCAGCTCAGCTCAGCTCAGCACAGCACAGCACAGCACAGCTCAGCTCGGCACAGCACAGCACAGCTTAGCACAGCAGAGCACGCAGGGCCCAGCAGGCGTGGCACTTTCTCGGCACCAGAGGGGGGTTGCAACGGTCGTCCCGGGCACAGCAGGCGTGGCGTTTTCTCGACACCACAGGGGGTGCGCACGGGGTGGTCCCTGAGCGCGGCCGCTCTCTGTGACGGTCGTCCCGGGCACAGCAGGCGTGGCGTTTTCTCGACACCACAGGGGGTGCACACGGGGTGGTCCCTGAACGCGGCCGCTATCCGTGACGGTCGCCCAGGGCACAGCAGGCGTGGCGTTTTCTCGACACCACAGGGGGTGCGCACGGGGTGGTCCCTGAACGCGGCCGCTATCCGTGACGTTCGTCCCGGGCACAGCAGGCGTGGCGTTTTCTCGACACCACAGGGGGTGCGCACGGGGTGGTCCCTGAGCGCGGCCGCTATCCGTGACGGTCGCCCGGGGCACAGCAGGCGTGGCGTTTTCTCGACACCACAGGGGGTGCGCACGGGGCCGCCCAAGAGGCGCCCAAGACGGCCTAAGAGGGCCCCAACACGGCCCCAAGAGGGGACCACGAACCGAAAAGTCCAGCCGTTCGCCCCAAGACGCTCCCGGGAGGCCCCAGAGCCCCCCAAGAAGCCCCAAGAAGCCCCAAGAGCCCCCCAAGAGGCGTCCCAAGAGGCCACCAGGAGGCCAAAACCATAGATTTCCTATGGGCAACATACATGTTTAGCATACACGGTTTTTCGGCTCTCACGGCGTTGAAGACGGTTCAAGAGGCCCCCAAGACCGCCCCAAGAGGGCCCAAGAGGCTCCCAAGAGGCCCCCAAAACGGCCCAAGGGGGTCCCAAGACGGCCCAAGAGGCGCCCAAGACGGCCAAAGAGGGCCCTGAGGCGGCCCCAAGAGGGGGACCACGAACCGAAACGTTTAGCCTTTCGCCCCAAGAAGCTCCCAGGAGGCCCCAAGAGCCCCCAAAGCAGCCCCACGAGGCCCCCAAGAGGCTTCCAAAAGGATTCTAAAAGGGCCCCAATCAGACTCCCAACAAGGCCCAGAGACGCCAAATAATGAGCGATCGGTAACGCACAAAGCTCTTCACACCAAGGCTCCCAAGAGCGAACGGTAACGTAAACAAGCTGATAAGACCAAGGCTCCCAGCAGAGAGCGGTGACGCAACAAGTTCCTGACACCAAGGCCCAGCCAAGGCTCAGGAACGGGCGGCAACGCAACCATCTCTGAACACCAAGGCTCCCAAGAGCGCGGGGTGACGTAACAAGCTCTCAACGCCAATGCTCCCAGTACGAACGGTGGTGTGAGTAATTTCGGTCAAGTTTCTGAAGCGCTCTTTCCGTTTCTGTGCCGGGCCCAGGTAACGGAAAGAGCGAGGTACGAGTAACGACGTTGTGTGTTGGGCGACGCCTCTTTCGCCTCAAGAAGCTCCCAGGAGGCCCCAAGAGGCCCCCCAAGAGGCCCCAGGATGCCAAAATCATTGATTTCCGATGGGAAAGACCTCTATTTGTCCCAACCATCCTGTGGTGTTGGGTCCTCGTTTTGAAGAGACGGTGCCCCGCGTCTCCTTCCTCCTCTCCTCCTCCGCCTCCCCTCCCCTCCTATCATCCTCATCGTCATCATCATCATCATCATCATCATCGTCATCATCATCATCATTATCATCAGCATTATCATCATCATCCTCATCAGCATCAACATCATGGCCGCCATCATAACCATCATCGTCATCATCACCATCATCGCCGTCATCACCATCATCGTTGTCCTCGTCGCCATCATCGCACGTTTCGTGGCCCCATACGGAGCTCCACCGAAGGTCCAAGTGGCGCAGCTCGCATGGCGCCACCGCCCCATTTTGGCACACCCCTCACACGTTTCGTGGCCCCATAGGGAGCTCCATCTACGGTCCAAGTGGCGCAGCTCGCATGGCGCCACCGCCCCATTTTGGCACACCCCTCACAGATTTCGTGGCCCCTCAGGGAGCTCCTTTTGGCACACCCCTCACACGTTTCGTGGCCCCATAGGGAGCTCCACCTAAGGTCCACGTGGCGCAGCTCGCATGGCGCCACCGCCCCTTTTTTGGCACACCCCTCACACGCTTCGTGGCCCCATAGGGAGCTCCACCTAAGGTCCACGTGGCGCAGCTCGCATGGCGCCACCGCCCCTTTTTGGCACACCCGTCACACGTTTCGTGGCCCCATAGGGAACTCCATTTACGGTCCAAGTGGCGCAGCTCGCATGGCGCCACCGCCCCATTTTGGCACACCCCTCACAGATTTCGTGGCCCCTCAGGGAGCTCCACCTGAGGTCCAAGTGGCGCAGCTCGCATGGCGCCACCGCCCCTTTTTGGCACACCCCTCACACGTTTCGTGGCCCCTCAGGGAGCTGCACCTAAGGTCCCAGTGGTGCAGTTAGCCTTGCCCGCCCGCAATCAGCCGGCCGGCTAGCTCTCTGTGCTCCGCGCAGCGGACGACCTGCGCGCGTCGCTGGGACCCCTCCGCGGCGACCTGCGCGCGTCGCGGGGACTCCGCGCTGCTCTGCGCCCGCAGCTTTGGATTTTTGGAGCGCGCAGGCAAAGAGGGGGGAAAAGAAGGGACGGAAGCGGGTGCGATCCCCGTGAGGGGCGTGCCGACATGGGCGTCGCGGCGCGCGGGCGCTGCCGTCGGGGTTCCCGCGGAAGCTGCCTGCGGCGGCCACGCCCAGTGTCACAAGTGTTCGGACAGGCATGCTCGAGCCATTCACATTCATATACATTTACACTAGGCGTAGCCAAGATCGCATTCATGCAAATATACTCACTCCCACGCAGACCCATTCACACTCAGACTCTCTCGCGCTCTGGCTCACCCGCGTTCATTCTTTCGTAATCTGACCTATCGTATTCCTTTGCGTTGTGTACCCCGCCATATTTCGGCATGCCCCTCATGCGGTCCGTGGCCCCATAGGGAGCGCCACCGAAGAAGGTACTCACAATTGCGGCACTCACAACTGCATATGGTTGGGTCTTTCGCCAGGATAATTAGCATGTGCGGCTTTTCGCCTTTCACGGTGTTGACGACGGCCCAAGAGGCCCCCCAAGACCGTCCCACGACGACCCAAGAGGCTCCCAAGAGGCCCCCAAAACGGCCCAAGAGGGCGCCCAGACGGTCCAAGAGGGCGCCCACGACGGCCCAAGAGGGCCCCAAGACGGCCCCACGAGGGGGACCACGAACCGAACAATCTAGCCTTTCGCCCCAAGAAGCTGCCAGGAGGCCCCAAGAGCCCCCTAAGAAGCCCCAAGAGGCCCCCAAGAGGTTCCCAAGAGGCTTCCAAAAAGGATTCTAAAAGGGCCCCAATCAGACTCCCAACAAGGCCCACAGACGCCAAATAATGAGCGATCGGTAACGCAAACAGCTTTT